ATTCAGTATGTTTAGGCCCTCCAGTATGTTAAATATAACAGTAATGTGTTAAACAAGTAGACCTACACTATTACAGAGCGATATTTAAACAATCTATTTTCATTTTAAAATTTAAATAGGTATGAGATTAAAGTAGTAGACTATAGTAGTGATTTAAATAAGGACCATGTTTATATATACATTTATGTTTATGTTGATGTACCGTAAAGGCTAAACTGTTGCAAATGGTTTACTTTACGGATTTTGTTTTGTTTATTATTATTTTTTTTTTGTCTGTTTTGATTATACTTATGTTAAGTTGAATATCAATAAAGAATATGTATAACATGTACATAAACTATAAATACAGTTTTTCACTTAAGATTACGGAATTACTTTCACTTGTTTTACACATTCAAATATAAAGTATATATCTACAACAAATAGTCAAGAACGAATTAAGTCGGTCTAAAAAACTCGAACTTACGTTTCACTATAAAACTCTAAATTTGAATACTAATTTGTCCATTATGTGGCAGCCTACCTAAATACTTTAAAAAATATGCATTTTCATACACGACATATACTCCATTGATTTTGTTTATGTGTAGTTTGCTTTGTTTTTCTGTCGTAATTATCCTTTATGTTATAAGGTGATATCAATAAAGAATATGTAGGCCTATGCCATGTACATAAACTATAAATACAGTTTTTCACTTAAGACTACGGAATTACTTTCACTTGTTTACACATTCATATAAAGTAGGCCTATATATCTACAGCAAACAGTCAAGAACGAATTAAGTCGATCTACGGTAAACTCTAACTTACTACGTTTCACTAAATTTCTAAATTCGAATACTAATACAGTGGTCCAAAATATTTTACCGGTGTACGTTATTGGGCAGCCTGCCTAAATAATTAAAAAATACACATTTTCATGCACGACCATATTCCAATGGTAGAATCGTGGCCGACCGGAGGCCGATGTCCCTGACGTCGGGGAAGTGGTGGGGGAAGGGTGGGTGTCCCCGACGGGAAGACCGATTTCTCCATCAGGAGCATCCCATACAGTGTGCTATGTTAAAATTACGCTGCAAATTACACCATTCTGCAACTTATGATAATGTTCCTATCGCTTCGTTGGTTGGCTTTACTCGAATTGCACTAGTAATGTGAAGTACGTAAATGTCATTCCAACTAACTGTAAAGAAACAAACACACATTATTCAACTCATCAATAATACGGTATCATATTTGGTAAATACCGAATTTGCCAATATACCTTAGACCTGTTTACTAAAAATAGATAGGGGATGTCATTACTTAAAATTAGATAGCAAAAGATTGCGGGTTCGATTTCAGAGACCTCTTTTGCATACAAATATAATAAGGAACTTTCGTTGAAGAACTATGTTTTATACCATTTATAACATCATGTTTCTACATACTTGAGCACAGTACTGCTATCTATTTGAATTATATATATATATTTATATAATATATATGTATACATATAGGCCTATATATATATATATATATAGATAGATAGATATATACACATATAAATACATATATAATATGTATAGGTCTATACATACATATATATACATATGTAATATATATATATAATATATACCGTATATAACTCAAAAGTAAAGACAAAAAGATTGACTTGGTAGACTTGAATATAGGAAACGAATACCGTGTATAGACTTCAGAAACACTTTATTAGAGAAAACCAATATTTCGACTTATCCTCAGGTCTTTATCAAGAACCTGTGTTATGCTATAATTATTATATATTATATAAATTGGTAATGAGGGTGAAAGAAAGTTTCCTCAACCGAGATTCAAACCCGAGACGTTCTAATGTCTATTCAGACGCCTTCCTAACTAGGCCATTGAAGCTTTGTTGGGATTATTCGTACTCTTGTTCTAGCGTAATTGGACAGCACCACGAGTCATATTCAAACAATTTTTAGTCCTACTTAGCACACTCATTTTATTTTATAAGCAATTTACCGTAACTAGAACTTCTTTGTTGATAGTGATCAATCCAAATACCGAAAATCCAACAGGAGGACCGTTCAAGCGAGATAAAAACAATATATGTATCTGTAGAGAAACAAATGTTAAACCAGGTACCATGTCAGAAAATTGCGGAGAATATGTATAGGCCTATATAGCCTATACAGTATATTCCTATTCTTAAAACATAATTTAGCGTTAATATTAAATCAATTAATCTTACACACATCACATACTGAAGTATGAAGCATTAATTTGTGAACACATTTATGAGAGCTTTTATTAACACAAGAAGTCAATGAATAAATCTTAAATGGAATTTACCGGAATAAGTCTGTTGTTACAGGGCATGGTAGAGAATGCAGTCAATCTGTACACTTTATTGTTGAAGTCATGAATCTGCAAGAAGATTAAGTAAATTCAGTAATACTGGCCTTTAATATTGGTGTTTGTTATTAGCGTATGCATGTTAATGTGCAGGCCAGGCTACATTGTTAGGTAAATATAAGTCAGACTACGTTTATTAAGTAAACATAAGTCAGGTTATATTATTAATAATAATATGTCGTTCTTATATAGCGTTTAATGCCTTAACAAAGCCTCTAAGCGCTTCACTACTACCCCGGTCATTGGATCAAACACATATTATGGAACACATTATTAGGTTAACATACACGTATATATACACAACGTTTCTGGGATAAATATTTCACTGCAAACTAATTCTAATGCCATTATTTTCAAGTAAAATACTTTATATTTAGGCCTATTCATATTTATTTATAAATTATAGTTATTTTATTAATTTTATTTTAAAAGGAAACCCATGCGTACGCCACGTATTTCTATGTTCTCTTTATTAACGTAAAGTAATTTTTATTTACCTCACTGTTGAGTAGGGCAGCATGAATTGTCACCAAACAGACACAGCCGCAGTTAATCATAAGCCAAAATATATAACCGAATTTTTCACTAATATCCCCAGGCGAAAACAAACACTGATATGCTAAGAATATTATTAACGGGATCTGAGTTGAACAGACTGACAATATGAACACTGAAAAGCAGTCGTCTGCTTTCACGACTGAGTCGCAGAGGTGGTTGTGCTGTTTGCGAATTGACACGTACAGTTGCTCGTCGACAAATTCACCTCGGCCATTCTCATATTCTATTAGCATTTCTGAAAAGGTTTTTGCGAGTAAATTGAACTGCTTTTTCAAATACCGACAGACGAGGCAAAAAAAGAATGTATATGACATGAATGCATTGGCTATAAGCGTTCCGATGGTGAGAGTAATGACTAGGCTGGCGGTTGATGTCCACGGGGCAGACTGACTGTGGTAATCGGGGGTTTCGAATACCAATGCGAACACTAGTAGAATAGCTAAGCACGCGGCAGTACATACGACAGTAATTGCTTGTGCAATATTTACCTCAACTTTGGTCTGTTTCTTTCCTGGGACGCAGCGAAGGGTTCGACTATCGATGCTGTTACAATATTTCTGATTGTGCTCAAAAAAAGCCAAAAATCCACTCATTTTAGAGCACATTACATAAAATGCGATAATTATACACATACAATGGAAAAAGAATGCACTCATTATGATTTCAGTGTAAATTAATCCAGGATAAAAATCCGGTTTCCAGATTTCTGGAATGTATCTTACAAAGTTAAAAACGCTTAATAAAGAAACGATTGCATGCCAAGATTTCCAGAATGCTGATTCCAACTTGCCAACGTCGGCGAATGGAGGGTCATGAAACACTCCACCGAGCTTCATAAAAAACATATAATTCTTCAACTGAGAGTACAGAGGGTGATCTGCTCTTGTCACAGTACTCGTTTTGGAGTTATCTTCCTCTACTGGATGAACTCGGTTTGTACGGACATCGGTGTTTCCAGGGTGTTGAATTACGTTTCCATACATATTGAGGTAGGCTTGAACGAACCTTTGTCCAAGAATGAATTATAATTTTCTATTAGGATATGATGAAGTTCTATCTCTTAAAAGAACGAAACAGAAGATTTAAACGCCTTTATCTTACAACCACACAACGGAATTACCTTAACAAATTGTTGTTTTTGTCATCATCAAACACCACGATACAGATTGTTTTCCTTTAATAGAGAACTCAATGTTTTGCAAAAAACGCTGAGGTCTAGTCCTAAAACTCCTTTGTACCCACAAGAGTGAATCATCAGTACCAAAATCTAGCGAGCGTATTTTGGTGTGTGAGGCTTACAGTCATTGCAGATTAACAAAAGAAGGTAAGTGTTTCCTGCGCGCATAAGTGTTGAGGAGCAACGACAACGTATAAGTGAAAGCCAACATTTAAATCACATAAATAGGACTTCGTCAGTTGATCGATATCAATTAGGTGGTAGTCATATAATTGTAATTAAAGAATCCTGTTATTTTCGTTTTTTATTAGGCAGTAGAAAGTAGTAAGGAGGATTACATTATAATTTGCATATGTGGGTACATTAATTTGCATATGCTGGTATATTAATTTGCATTTTATTTGCATGCATATGCTGGTATATTAAATTGTTTATGTTGGTATATTAATTTGCATATGCTGGTATATTATTTGTATACGAAAACAGGTATCGCTGAGTCACCTTCCTGTCCTTGATTCCGGTGTATATTATTATTATTATTATTATTATTATTATTATTATTATTATTATTATTATTATTATTATTATTATTATTATTATTACAATATTATATATTATAATATTGTATACAGTATGTACACTATTTTTGTAGATATTTATTTATATTTGCCATGGATCAAGACGATTCTTAAATATAAAAGCTAGTAGCATTCTAGAAAAGGAAATTATTAATATTAAATGTTTGCATAACAGATAAATAAAGATAATAATAATAATGAACTTGGAAAAAAACGCTGAACAGTTTACAATTGTTTAGGAAGTTCAGATCTGCTTCAGCTTTCATTAGTTTCTTTAGAAGTTTCTCAAACCTTCTACAATCATTTTTGCTCACATCACTATGTTGAATCAAATCTTGAATAATATAGCCATACGACCGAAAAGAAATCAAAATTATAAGAAATTTGAAAGCAATGAACCAAGGTTTTAATGAATAGGTTTTAGGCATGTTTCGACTGTGTCTCACAGTCATCTTCAGTAAACTAAAAAGTATAAAATTCCACATCCATTTATATACAATGAATTAATTGGTGGTGTGACCATTTCTAATCAATTACGCAATTAATATTGATGAACTTGGAGAATGAATACAGCAGAATAGATTGAATTGAAAGTGGTGTGATATAGCTCTGGTGTAAGTGGACAATAATGTGATTAATATTCATGAAGCTTTTGAGCGAGATTGAAAATGGAAGAAATCATTATTGGAGGTAATGGTAAAAACCCTTATTAACAGGTAAGTGCAATGTTGTAGTGTTGTACCTCCTTGTTCAATGATGGATTCTCCCATTTAATGTGAAGGGCCTCTTTGAGTTTTAGTTGATATCCATTATTGGCCTGATCAATTATTATGAAATTGGCATTATTACTATTAGATTTACATTTATGATTTTTTGCTAAGTGTTTGTATATATGTGAGTTTTTATCAGATATCAGGTGCTCTTTGATCCTTATGGATAAGTGGCGAGACGTTTCACCAATGTAGGTGGCATTACAGCCCCCCACAACTGAATTTATATACCACATTGGATCTAAGAGCACTTGGTATAGTATCTTAACATAAATGTAAATCTAATAGTAATAATGCTAATTTCATAATAAATAAATGATTGTAGAAGGTTTGAGAAACTTCTAAAGAAACTAATGAAAGTTGAAGCAGATCTGAACTTCTTAAATAATAATAATGATAACAATAATAATAATAGGCATAATAATAATAATAATAGGCATAATAATAATAATAATAATAATAATAATAATAATAATAATAATAATAATAATAATAATAATAAACCATCTTTCTATGTAGTTCTGAAAAGAACTGTATAGTGTGTTACGACTTTAAATAATAATAATATAAACTTAGATTAGGTGATCTCTCTCTGTTTACACAAATAGTAATGTAAAAACCTATACTTATCGTTCTGTATTTTTTTTTCGACAAATTGTATTCAACTTAGATGAACATTTGTAAATGAAAATACAAATCTACATTTATAACTTATTTTCAGTAAGTCTAGTTTAGTTAGGGAGAAAACAAATAATAAGTTTGGTTGAATAATTATATAAAACTGACATTGGGTGATCTCAACCTGTTTTCACAAATAGTATATATTAATGTAAATTCCTATTCGAAAAATGATAATAATACTGGTATAAGTGAGGTCATATAATTTTATTATTCGTTTTAGTTATATATTTTTAAGAAATAGAGTCATTTGATGAAAACATATAAGCATGGAAACTGAAAGAATTGCACGAGAAATCAATGATATAGAACATATAGAAGATATGAACTGTAATTTTTTCAAGTATTGCGAAAAGATGTATAAAGCGTGCGATGAAACTCTTTATAATTTCACAAGAGAAGTATTGCTTGATTCAAACGAGAATATTGAGACGTTTTTTAAAGACGTTTTAACAGAAATGTTTAGTGATAATATCATAAACTAGGGCCGTATAATTATGGTTTTTGTGTTTGGAGCGAAGTTAGCTGTGTTATGTAAAAATAGAAACAGAACTGATTTGATTGATCAAGTAATACAGAG